AAATGTGAAGAAAGGAGAACAAGTGGGCCCAAGCAAAAAATAGAAGGTTGGTGACATTGAGTTAAACAAGGGGAATAAGAGCCTTTCACTAGACATGGTGTAACTTAATGTATATCAGATTTTCAATAAGGTTGAGCATGGTAAAGGGTAGGAAGCATAAGTTAATCTAGGTGGTCAAAAGGAAGGGCCTAACTTTGTGAAAGGATTGTTATTAGAGTTGTAAAATAGACAATAGATTTGCCACATTGAGAGTTGAGTCACTTAGGCCAACGGTGGTAGCTACAAATTTGGTAGAAATTGTTATCTTAGATAGCCTTAATAAATCCCAAAGATCATCAATAGGAGCAAACAACATGAAGAAAAGAAGAAGTCTTTTAAAGGATAAAAACAAAAGCATTGGATACAACGATGAAGAAACAAAATAAGACGAGAGATCCTTAGAGAATCAAATAAACAAAAAGTAAGAAGGTCTAAGGGGAGGGTTCATCATAGTAGTGTTGAATAATGAGGAACCAAGAGTTTAGAAGTGATTGACCCCCAATTCATAGTCACTAGCTGGAGGTGAGAGACTCCATGAACGGTGGCCAAGGATGAATAATTTTCTTGTGATAGGATTCTTTACAAATTTATTTATGATTATTTTGCACTTTTTGTTAGTAATTTAGTTTTAGTACTTTTTGCTTATCTTGGAGTATGTTAGCGTTGGATACAGTTTATAGCTTTTAGTATTGACTTGTCCCATAACTAAAATGGTGCCCCTAGATAATTGGAAGATAATTCCCATTCTTGGCCTTTATGATGTATTTAGATGTTTCATGGAAACAAGGTTAGCAAATTATAGAGCCTATGAGCAGTCCTCACATTTCTTAAGTAGTATACAAAAGGTAGAGTCAACTTTACCATCTTCCTTTTTCTCTTTTCTCTTCCTTTGTCTTTTTAACAATGAGTTTGACTTTGTGTCAAATTTGCAAATATTTTGATCTTTGAAGATACTATGATGGGTAGAAGTTTTAAGTTAAGCAATAACATAGTGTGTAAATTTTGTAAAACTTTTGTCTATTTTGTATATACATTTATTTAATTTACATCTTTTTCTATTTGTATGGATTTCTTTTTGTCTTTATTCTTTTGAGGCTATTTTATAGTAATTATTTGTTTTATTTTATATATTGGGATTCATGTTTAATAGTCCTGTGTGCGCATTAAAAGTGTAGT